GTTTGTTGACCATACAAAGTGCCAAGGATGGAAAATTACACAATAGTTGAGTTAATAGGGGAGGGGTCGTTTGGCAAGGTTTACAAGGCGAGGCGCAAAGGGTCGGGTCAGGTTGTGGCCATGAAGTTTATCGTGAAAAAAGGCAAAAATGATAAGGAGCTTTTAAACCTTCGTAGTGAGATCGAAATTATGACGAAGCTTGATCATGGTAACATTATTACTTTGTTTGAGGCGTTTGAAACTCAACAGGAGTTTGTTGTAGTGATGGAGTACGCTCAGGGAGAGCTGTTTGAAGTTCTTGAGGACGACAAAAATCTTCCTGAAGAAGTTGTGCGGCGTATTTCGAAGCAGTTGATACAGGCACTTCATTATTTACATTCTAACCGTATTATGCACCGAGACATGAAACCTCAGAACATTCTTGTTGGGCAGAATGGCGCAGTTAAATTGGCCGATTTTGGTTTTGCTAGATCGATGAGTTATAACACAATGGTGCTGACAAGTATTAAGGGAACACCCCTTTATATGGCGCCGGAACTTGTCCAAGAACAACCCTACAACCACTGTGCGGATTTGTGGTCGCTTGGGTGTATCCTCTATCAGCTATACTATGGTAAGCCGCCATTCTACACAAACCATCTTTACAAGCTAATCAATCAAATTGTTAATGATCCCGTCAAGTTTGAGGAACCTATATCACCAGATTTTAAGTCCCTCTTGAAGGGTCTCTTGACAAAGTCCTTTTCAGCGCGATTGAACTGGCCTCAGTTATTGAACCATCAGTTTGTGGCCCTTGGTGAGGAGGATGGAAAGTGGCAGGCAGTAATTAAACTACACGATGAGGAATTAAAAGAGCGTATGGATAGATTAGAGTGTTTTGGGCTCCGCACCCAACCAAGCAGGTTTCAAACGAATTCCACAGGATATACGCCTCGCGCCAGTGCGGTTTTGCAGCAACCATCCTTGAATTCAAAGGAAAGCTCGCTATTTTCTATCTCTTCGATAGAGATTATTTCCTCTTCAACCGATTCACATAAAGTCATTGAAACTTTTAAAGGGCTTGCGAGGGCATCTGAGACGTTAACCTCGTCGCCTCTGCAAAATAGTGCCTTGTTGGAGCGAATTCCGCAATTGGGTATTTTGGCGCCAACGTTACGGAGACTCAATGATGCACAAACGGTAGATGTAATTCGCCATGCTTTGCAATTTATTCGGATACTCGTGTTTCCTGAAAATGGTTCTGTTTTTTCATTTCCTTCACAATATCCTTCAGAGAACATATTAAACACTCTGAAACAGCGAAGTGAAATTCCACCGGTTGATCTTCTTATACGACAGCAAGTCGCTTTGGAACTGATGAAAAAACCTCAGGAGACGCTTGGTTTTATGGTGCGCGAGGTAATTGAGAATCGGAAGAATCTTCGTAAGGATTGTGTGAAAGTCATTTTCCAATGCGTAAAGTGGGGAATTGGATTTGGAGCTGCTCTCATTAAATTGAAGACGTTCCCCGTTTTTTGGGCTTCCTTGCTTGATTCTGTAAAGGAATCGACAGTAAGAGAAAAAAGTCCCTTGCAACTTTACGCGGCGATTGCGTTTCACACGGTTTCGGTGTTGATACCTCATATAAAATTGTCTTCCCCTGCTCAAATAAATGCGCAGAAGGTGTCTGCGTTTGTGTCCACCGGGTTAGGGGCTGTTTGCTATTATGATTCATCTAAAAATGGGGATATTGCGGCGCTGAACTGTGCTGCTGCTGCAGCCCTTTTGGTTGCCTTTGTGCATCGAGAAATGAAAGACACCATTGTTTTTGAACCGGACTCTCTACTGATGGATGGATTACACGTTATCGTAGAAGGCGTGCGTCGAATCTCGGACTCGCGTGCGGTACCGCGTGCCCTTGGGACAAGCTACGGATTTGCTGATTGCGGGTTCTTGGACGGTGTGGCGCATATGCTCTCTGTCCTGTTTTCAAATCCAAATTCAATTGTGTATCAACAAAATTTGAATCCTTCAACGCAAACGCAGCTTGGAGATGAAAAGAGAATCTCACTTCGTACCGTCATCCGTTTATTGCGTGATAGCGATCCCAAGGTTGAGTTATCACCGAACGGCGTTTTGGCTGCACTTCGTTGTGTTCAACAAGCCTTGCAGTATCACAGGGAAGGAATGCACACGATGAATCTTTTGCTGGAATCTGTAGAACCTTACGCTGGAGAGAGCGGTGGCTCGGTTTCGGTGATGGCAGTTATTTGTCGTCAGTTACGCTCAGTTTACCTCAAGCAGCTTCGCTTGTGGCCTGAATATAAAGGAGGGGGAGCTGTGGGAGTCAGTGCCCATCTGACCATAATTGTTCAGATTTTGGCGGCGGCGTTGCATCCGGCCAAGCAGGGAGCCGACCCGGAGGGTGAAACGACGGCCGCCGTGCATCGAATTCTTTACAAGGAAGGGGTGATGGAAATGCTCATTGCTGCACTTGATTACATGGAGGTGGCGTTTTGGGGCCCACCATTTACGATCATTATAAAACTAGTGATGGGTTCTCCCTTATTCGCCAAGGCATTTGTAGACGGAGGTGGTTTGCGGCCGGAGCGGATAAGGAAAGTCTTGGACGCACGAAAGGCAAGTAACGGTCTTGTCTCGGATGGACTCAACGTGCTTTCCCAACTGGCTCGGATATCGAAGGAGTTTTATCCACCCATTCACAGCGCAAATTTATATGAACTTTTTCTGGATCTTCTGCGACACCGAGACGCTGCTCTCCGAAGCAAGATGTGCAACCTCCTTGGGAATCTCTGCAAGCATTCTCCGTACTTCTATGAGCAGCTGGCGAGCCACAAGCTGATAGAGGCCCTTGTGGAGCGCTGCAGCGACGAAGACTCCACCACGCAAAAATTTGCAGCCTTTGCGGCCGGCAACGCAGCCTTTCACAACGATTTTCTCTATGAGTTGCTTAGGCCATCCATTCCAGTCATAGTAAAACTGTTGTCCAGCAGCGACGAAAAGACGCGACAAAACGCGGCCGGTGCGGTTAGCAATTTTGTGCGAAATGGCAGCACCCTCACTTCTGCCTTGATGGGGGACAACGTTGTAGAGGCCCTCCTGCGGATCCTCAAGAAGGACAAACTGGGGCTGAGAAAAATAGCGCTGATTACCATTGGCTCCTTTTGTGCCTACGAGGACTGTAGAAAGAAGTTTTTGGCGGCGGGATTGAAGGACTTGCTACGGCAGCTCGAAGAGAGTAGCGCTATTGAAGCTGAGCCTTCAATTGCAAAGTATGTCGCGAGGATCAAACAACGAATTGGTTGAGCCTGACGTTAGCTCGCATGTATGATTTGAAACGAGGCAACAACAACAGCAAACAAAAAAAAAAAAGAAACACCAAAGAGAGCGGGAAATAGATTGCGACGTTGTCCTGAATACTGAAAGGCCCCGGGACTCTTCTGAGCCCTCTGGTGCTTTTTCTCCTTTTGCGTATGTGTGCCTTTTTTTTTTATGCCTTCTTTCCGCGCGATGCCTGCCTGGCAAACACACACACACACACACACACACACACA